AGCTGCTCCCATCGACAAGAAATTCACTCCCAATACACAGCCCTGGCCCCAGTGACCACCAAAAAGAAAGTAAAAATACAGCTAAAACCTCCAACTTAAATTCAAAATGATATCCTAGGCTGCTGATCAATCATCTCCCGTTGCAGTGCTACAAGGCCACATTCTAACACTGTCCTAACTTCTAAAGAAATAGCATTTCAAAGCCTGCTGGAAACACAAGCTTCAGCTCTGGTATCTTCTACAAAGTGGGCACAGGACTTTTCCCCTGTTCTTAGCAGAGGCAGGTAGCTTCACCCAGCATTGTTTTGCTGCTTGTTTTTTTGAGGAATGCAGAACAGCTAATAATTTTTCATTGCAATTTAATTATTTTATGCTCCTCATAGGTATTGTATTTCCAAATCCAAACTTCTGTTGCTTTTATCTAGGGTTTAAAACCCACGTATTAACCACCACTGCTGCTGCAGCAATGTCCACAGAGACAATGAGGACTCCACGCTGAGCACAGAAAGCAACAGCCTGCTGAAGAACAAGACCAGAAGGGATGAAAACCACAGAAAGACAGGGAGAAACAATGCAGATGGGAAGACAGAACAAGACCCCAGCTGGTTCCCAACCAGCACTAGCTGCACCTCGCAGCATGACCCAGATGTCTGCACACAGGGCAGGTGGAGCAGTGACCTGGGGGTGAGCAGAGAGGGCTGGGAGCTCCCCGTGCACAGGCAGCTGGAGAGGGGGTGAGGGGCTTCTGTGCAGGACTGCTGGGGGTAGAGGACCTCACAGAAGTGAGAGCAGGGCAGGGAGGTGCAGGTACCCCGAGGCCATGCCTGGCACAGGGCAGCTGGTGATGCAGCTGGGGGTGGCTCTGGCAGACACCCCTTTGGGAGGGAAGGGAGGTGGAAGGCAAGAGCCCACAGGAGGGGAGGACATCATTCCATGTCCACCTGTTCTGTTCCTTGGGTCTCTGTTGGGCTTGGCAAATACACACCAGGAGCAGGGCCTGATCCGTAGCTGTGTCCCCACAACACAAACACGACTGGACAGCTGTGGTACAACCAGGGTGGTCGAGTGACACCAGGCCAGGGACACGGACACGTCCACCACCACGTCACAAACACAGGAGCACTGCTGGGACTTCAAATGCACAGAGAAACAAGAGTCACTTCCACGGAAAACGAGTGGCTTACACGGACGTATGTGAAAAACCAAATGCTTTAATCCATCTATCATGAACAACAGTTCAAATTATTTCATTGGATACATTAATATTGATCCATAATTTACAGTGCTATGGACCATACACAAATTATTGCTGCAGTCAACAGCAGATGAATATCAACATTACAGTACCAAGCATCATAGCAAGAGGCAGTAATTAATGTCACTTTTTCAAGAAATATAGGTATTTATACTATTATCAACATCAGCTTCCCCCCCAGTGCATTTTATGTCAAACAACATAAATGTAAGTGCATTTTTTTGTGCTTTGTGCTTTCCTTATGTACCTTCTTTTTGCTTTTACAGGTTGTAAGAGTTAAATATTGCTTTAGAGGCCAAAAGCAGTAAGGAAGAACTTCACTGTACTCTGCACGTTCCTGCTTGTTGCGTGGCTTTGGCAAAGTGAGAACTGGCAGGTGTCCCACCCGCTCGCCCAGTGTCACCCAAGACACCATCACCTCACTGGGCAACAACTTCTGCCCACCTCCCTCCACCTCGTTCATGCCAAACCCTGCCTGTAACTGCTGTCTCTTTCCTCTGCCATTGAGCCCCTGTAAAACATCACAGCCACGTGTTCCACGGTGCTCAAGCAGGCAGACACCCCTAGCGAGCACCTGCCTGGAGGGAGGTCCGTGTCTCCTGGAGATGTCCCCCACGCAGTGCCAACACACGTTCGTTCAGAGGGTGGGCACACTCAGAGGGCTGCAGCCTGAGGGAACACGGGGTGAGGGGCGAGCAGGGCGCAGCCGAGTTGTTCCCCCAGAGCAACGCAGCGCCCAGGGAGCGCCCGGCGTGGCTGCTGGGGCCACTCTGGCTCTTATCAAGAAATCCAGCTCTTGATAAAACGTTTCTCCTTGAACCCTAACTCACCTCCACACAGCACACGGCCCAAACTCAGCAGTCACGGCTGTCAGCGAGTACCAGTGTCTGCACGTAAGCTTGAAAAAATATTTATATACCACAGTCTAGACCTGAATTTCCGAATGCCCACCCTGGGCATCAAACCAAAGCCTCATCCAACACGTCAGGTGGCTCCCAGTTCCTACCCCCAAGCACGCACACCCTGACCCTGTACAACGCCGCAGAGCTGCCCCGGCCTGGCGGGGTCACAGCTCCCAGTGTTTACAGCCACACTCTCCTCGGTTTTTGCGCCAGGAGCCTGTACCCCGGTGCCCCATTTGGAGCCAGCCACAGCACAGCTGCCCTGCAGGAACGGGAGAACTTCCCTGCCCAAGGACCACGGCACATCCTGCAGGCTCCCGGGTCCTGCCCTGGGCCAGAGCTTCGCTACCCGAGGAAAGACACATTCCCAAAAGCTGTCTGGGATGGGGGGGCGGGGGGGAGAGGCATCTTTATGTCTAACTCCAGCTCCTCCTTCAAAAAAATACACAAGTAAACCCCCAAGCCCCAGCCCGGGGTGGCACCAACGCTGCCGCGGAGCTCACCACAGGAGGGGTGACACGGCTGGAGACCCCACAGCACCCCAAGGTCAAGGTGGCCCCCGCCGAGCCCCACGGCCCCCCCCACCAGCACCGGGAGGAGCGGGGCCGGGCAGGGGCCGCTCCCAGAGCCCCCCCGTGGGGCAAGGTTTGGGCCAGAGCTCAGCACGGGCTCTGGGAGCTCCCCAATTCACATTTGGTGTCCCAACACCGGCCGCTGCCGCCGAGGTTCCCTCCCCAAGCCTCCAAACCCAGCACCCCAGGCAGGAACCCTTTGGCTCCCCCCGCGTCGCTCCCGGCGCAGCACAGGGGGAGCTCCTGTTTGCTCCACGGAGGCACCGTGCTGCACTTCAACGGCCTGCCAAACGTCCCCCTAAAGTCCCCTCCTAGGCCACACTTCAGTCAGTGCTAGTCGAGGAAGACTACAACTAGAGTTTAAGGCACTTCATTCTGAACGAGATACGCTCGCCTGCCGCTTGCGAGTCAGCTGTAGGCTGCTCTGGAGAAATCCATTCCATCTGTCCACCACCACAGGTCACCTCTGGAAAACACCTAGGCTTGATATATACAAGTATAACTACCGTTATTGCATAGGACTACACTTGAGTAGATAATGCACCCAAACTACTTTTACAACATTGTTGCATGTTAAAAATTAATAACGTCGTTATCAAGTAACAGTTATTTGCAGATACAGTAATTTACTTTTTTTTTTTTCTTTGATTTTTTTTTTTCTCTCTTATTACAGCCCCGGTGCTGAAATAAAACACAAATTACTATAACGGGTATATTAACTACATAGTTATGTTTCCAAGCATATTACTACTTTTTTTTTTTTTCTCCTGTTATCACTAAAAATAAATATGTAAGTTCAGTTTCTCTACAGAGTTTTTATTACCTAATCTAGATTTGTATTCTACCTTAAATGTGTTTAAAAACATTTCCAAAGTGAGACTGTAATATACAAAATATTCTCAAAATCTCTCTCAACACACAGAACCCTGCATGAAAACTTCCTTTCAAGTGTTTACAAAGAACGCCGAAAACTTCCAATGAGTTTTAAAAATGTCAAAAAACTGCTGCAATATTCAGAGGCAAAAAAAAAAAAATCTTACAAATGAAATACAAATATATTTAAAACAAAAAGTTGAGGATAACTAAGGAATCCATGCAAATCAAAAGAAACTGTACAATGCAATTTAAAAAAAAAAAATAAAGCCAATTAGATATGTACAACATAATGTGCCCAGCTGATAAAATGTAGAATATTTTTTTTGTCCAAAGAGTGTATACCAACTTACAGTGCTCCTGCTTCACTTACTGTTGGCAAGCCATCAAGATGCATCACAAAACAAAATAAAAATCTAAGAAAAATTCTCAAATCATGACCAAAAGGAAAACCCAAATCAGCTCAGAGTAAAATGAACCCTCACTCTGAGGAAGGGACTCACATCTCCCTGCCCTTTTCAGCAACAGCATTTTTATATCACAATCAACACGACCAGGATGCCACAACCCTTGTGGTTGGTTTGTATTCTGAGTGGAGTAGGGTGGGTATTTCTCCCTAAACACTTGTCATGTGAAGACCAACGTTTGAGGGACACTGTATCTTTAAGGCAGCACTATTCAATTAATACAATTACAAATTGGACTTTTTTTTTTTTTTTTGGTTTCTTTACATTCTTTAACTTTACATTTTGTTTCCAAGTAGATAGGTTGCATTTACAATTCTCTGATTCCACCCCCTCCAAGTAGATAGGTTGCATTTACAATTCTCTGACTCCACCCCCCTCCCCCCCCGCCCAGTAGAAACAGACTCTTGATTTGTAATTCTATTGCTTTGAGTAGATTTGACCAGTTCCAAGTTCTTGGCGAATCCAGTTCACAGATACTGTACATAGGCTGTACAATATTTTGGAGGTGTTGGTAGTTTTAAAATAGAATATACAAGTTTCTTCACAAAAATTCTAAAAAAAAATCCTATATATATAATATATACACACACGCACACACACTGGGCTACTGATGAAGCAACGAGGCGGGGGAAAAACAAAAAAGAATCAAAAATCCTACAAAAGGTAAATTATTCAATCTACTGCTGAAGAAGGAAAGCTTTGGAGGTGTTGGTAGTTTTAAAATAGAATATACAAGTTTCTTCACAAAAATTCTAAAAAAAAATCCTATATATATAATATATACACACACGCACACACACTGGGCTACTGATGAAGCAACGAGGCGGGGGAAAAACAAAAAAGAATCAAAAATCCTACAAAAGGTAAATTATTCAATCTACTGCTGAAGAAGGAAAGCAGTTTGTGGAAGGGGTGGCAGGGTAGGTCTGTGCTAACAGGCGTGGTCGGTGTCCTCCATGCTCACGCTGCTCCGCCTGCTACTCGTCTTGGACGCCCCCGGGGAGACGGAGGAGAGTAGGGGGTCAGTCACTCCCACGGGGGACAGGGTATCGTCCATCAGGATGTCTTCCAGTTTGGATCCCAGCTTGGCAGGGACGCTGTAGGTGCCGGCGGGCTCAGTCACACTCCCCAGGTTGTCGCTGAAGGTGATGGTGCCGTCGGTGAGATCCAGGGTGGTGGTGCAGGACAGGTCTGTGTGGTGCGGCAGGAGGTCCTGGTTGCAGTTGTCCAGCACTGGCTCTTGTTTGATGACCCTGTTGACCATATCAGGGGAGCAAAGGCCTGTAGATGGGACGAGGGACAGTCCGTGTGCCCGAGCTTGCATCTCGAGTTCCTGTGGAGGAGAATAACGGGCAAATTTAAAAAGATCTGAGAGCAGAATCTATCAATCACTTTGTGCACCGCGACCTCCAGGTTCCTTCTGTTGGACACAAACCACTTCCTCCCTTCTCAGCAGCGACAGGAGCTTGCACCTTGTACACTCAAAGAGTTTAGTCTGTCAAAGAGGTGGGTGAACACCACCCCACACAGGTCCTGCACCCTTCTTTTCAGAACCTACACCAGAGCCAAAACCCAGCACCCTGCAGAACAGACACGTTCCTCCTTGGGCCTCCTCTTAGACCAGGGCCATTTTTTGGACAAGCGTAGCACCAGGTCAGGTGAGAAAATCATTTAAAATCATTAAACAATAAAATTAAATAGCCAAAGTGTACCCTGTCTACTTTTTACAGAGTCATAGCATGTCTACATGATGCATGTCATTTCTTGCTGAGAGACTGGAAGGGACATCTCTCATCCTACAGGTCTGGTAGAGCTGGAAGTAAAGAGGTCAGCCAAACACTGAGCACTACTCCTGCACTGAAAAATTGTAAGCAAGTCACAGGAAGGCTTCAGACCTCACACATAGCCAGGATTCTTTAAAAAGAAGTTTAAATCCCACTTTCACATTTAATGACACACTTGGTTAAAGACAGATAATCTAACAATTCCTTTCAATGCCCTTTCTCAAGTGCAGCTCAGAGATGTTTTACTTCTCCTTGTGCATCGTACCAGGCAATCCCAACCACTGCTGCAACTGCACTGCTTCTGCACATCCCCATCACTGGCTGATTAATGGCCTGCTTTCCATTCTCAAACTAACACAACAAGCTTGTAACTGCACATGGCAAGATTAACAGAGGGGGAACAAGGAAGCACTCCTTCCATCAGCTAATGTGTCAAAACCAGGAGCTGCTTATTCTGTGCTTAATCAGAATCAACATAAAAAAGGGAAAATACAGACTTTAGGTTATTTGCTGCCACTGTAATGCCCATTATTCAAGGGTCTGTTTTTTATGTTGTTTTGACTGAAGAAAGAGGCAGAGCAGATGGGTGATGCAAAGGAAGATGAAAGATACTTTAAAAGTATTTTTTTTATTGTCTTCACTTTATCATCTCACTCTAGCAAACAGATTGCTCAAAAAGTACAAAAACTGCTGAAGCTCAGAGCAGCCCATTCCATACCAAAGCTGTTTACTGCCACACTTGCCACTCGGGTATTTCTAGCTTCACCAGCTGCTTTGTGGACTAGCTGTGGTGTGGTGCAGGGGTCCCCTGACCCAGCAGCCAGGCTCTGTGCAGGCTCAGCTGCTTGCACTGCAGGTGAGCAGCAACAAGAGGCTCTGGGACAGCACTGTCTCCTTGTTAATTGTGCACCCAGTTCTGCATATACTTCTTAAATTAGTCTTCTGTGGAGAGAGGTGCATATCCCTCTACCTCTGCCCACCTGGAAAATGGAGTTGACAAAAAAAGCTGTATAGGGTGCAAGCCTAAGGCTTCCTATCCAGCTTGAGGTGAAGGGAAAGGAATTAATTAGAGAAACAGTTCTCACCCCTAAATCTCTGTGTACTACAGGCTATTGGCAGGAACTAACCAGGCAACAACCCACAGAGAAAACATATTCATGCCACTTTGTTTTCAGTGTTGAAAAGAACTGTTTTATAGTCCTACAGACTCCAAGGAACCAAGATAACCACCAGCCATAGCTCCTCAGACAAAAAAGGCAGCTCAACATCCATAGCTCTTGGTTGTCTTGCTGCAAAAAGTCCTAGAGCCCTCACATTCAGCATGCTCCTCTGCAGTTGCTCTCAGAAAAGCCAGGGCAGCCTCAACATTAAATACAGCTGCCAGCCAAGGTACCCATGGGGCACTCACAATAATTTAGAAAACCCACAAGCAAAACAAGATGTTTTCATTTCTTTCCACTTGCCCCAAACTGCTTCAGTAAAGAAAACAAGCACTAAAGCTACAGGTCAAAAAAACTCCACAAACAAGACAACTAAAGTGAAGATACTCCCAAACAGCTGAACTGAGTTTCATCACTATCAAGAAACAGGAGGTTCCAGCAAGTCCCAATTGCATAGGTCTGGCACCCAGAAAAAAACATTGAACACATAAATCTTTTTACAGTATGGTTTGCAACTTACATTGGCCATGGTAGAACAAAGAACAGGCCAGCCATAAGTGCCTTACTATAGTGCTGGGATTTTATTTTACTTTTGTTCTAAACTGATCTTTCCTGTTCTTTTTCCCTGGAAAACATTTCTCAGCACTGGTCACTGTTAAAAGTGGTGACTCCTCCTCACGCGCGTTCCTCCAAACCAGCTTCAGTTACCATTCCTTGCAGTCACACAGTGCAAGATGAAGAGCATTTGCAGCTTATTTATCAGCAAACCTGTATTCTGAGCAGCAGGTGCCTGTTGGCATGTTCCAGCTTCTTCTGCCTGTTCTCAAGCTCCTTTGTGCGTTGCTGCTCCCTCTGCAGCTTACGGATGTAGTCCACCGAGGCCTTCAGAATCGTCCCCTTGTTCCAGCGCATGTCCCTGGGGAGTCCACACAAGAGGAGACCTCAGGCTCTCAGGAAGGCTTTATTTCACAGGCATTGCCAGCTACAGTGACATTTCCTATCTCCCCAACACCTGGCTCCTGTTGATGGCAGGTTTGTGAATCCAGAAGGCATCTGAATTGCACTAGAGGGGGCCAGAGTGCAGCTGCTGGAGCAGCCTGCAGCCAGCCCTGCCCTCTGCTCAGCCTGGGACCAGCACTGTGCAGGACAACTGAGGACCAGGAACTCCTTCCACTGCCTTATGCTGCAAAACAAAACCCCACGAGACTTCTCAAACATGGCAACTATCTGGGCGATGCCTGAGGTCGGCTGGGGAATTACAGGACCATGTATGACCTGGTGCTTCTGTGGGAGAATGACCTGAGGCTCTCCAGCTCCCAAGAAGCAGCAAGCAACAGTTCTCCTGAGGCACTGTACCACAGCTGTCTTATAGTAGGAAGAGAAGAGCCCAACAAAGCAGCACTTTCAGGTGCTTTAGACTTAAACTCTGGATAAAGTGCAAATGCTACATTGCAGCCTAGGGGTGATGGCTCTTCAGGCAGGGAGCACATGGATCACATGCTGCTTCTCCCACATTAGACCTCTCACACTCCCTTTAGAGAGAGAGGCTGCCTGCATTGTCTTCTCTATCATTTTACTTGGCTTAAGTAGAAAAAAGCAGTTTACTGCATACCATCAGACCAAAGGTCCACCTGTCCTGTAGGTTGAGATTGTGTAATATTGCCTTGCTTGCCTTAGAGGAAGCTAAAGAGCCTCTCTGAAGAGTAGCTGTGAGCTGCTCACTGACTTAAAATTATGGAAACTCTCCCCAAAAGCATCACAGAGCATTGATCCAGATTCACCTGAGATTTTCATGCTCCAGAGCAAGAGGGCTTCCTTGCTATTGACTCAGCACTGGGAAAGCATGAAGTTGGTAGCACTAAGAGACCTTAAAGAACCTCTGAGAAATCACTGCAAACACCAGCAAATTATCAGTGAACAGACACACAGCTACACTCTTTCTTCTTTTTTCTTGGCTGGAAGGAGAATGATGGCTAAAAGAACTGCTCCCTGTTTTCACAGAAAGAGGCATTGGTTCTGTCTTGCCAAGCTATGACATCTAATAAACAAAAAGAATTATTTAGCAAGACAAGCAGCCAGGCAGCCAGCTAAGCAGCAGGACTAGGATGAGGTTTCAGATCCTGACAGCTCCACCTCAGTCATTCCTAGCACCAACTCCAGCTCTGCCAAAGCACAGGGACCTGATGGATGCTGAGCTGCTGCCCAACAGTATACTGTCTGCTTTGTGACAAAAATCAAATCAATATAAACTTCAGTGAAGTTCCAAAAGGGAGAAAATAAACCCCAAAACAATCTTCAAACAATATATTAGAACCTCCAAGCATCTCTACAGTCATGGAGTGCAGAGATCATACAAGAAAACTCCAGGTTTTTTAATAGCTTAATTTTTTTTTTTAAATAAATTCCTTTTCTCCCCTAATATTTTTTTTAACACCTCCCTCCCACAGCTTCCCTGGGCACATTATACTCACGGGTCATTTGACTTGGGTATCAAAGTGCCTAGTTCTTTTATACGGTCATTAATATTAAATCTTCTTCTTCGTTCAACTTCAGGAAAAAAAGCACAAATGTTACAAGGAATATTCACACTTAATTACAACATATACAGTGTATCAAAAATTTCTTTAAGGGTCTCTGGAATATTTGCCTGAAACTTTAACTCCAGTGGCAGAGTAATTTGTTTTGCTCTCACAGGGACACCCTAAGACAGGAGTTCTGTCTGTTCCGTAAAAACATGGAACTGGTGAAGTGGCAGAGTTAAACTGAGACTCAAAAAAACCCAGGATGGCTGTGTTAGCATAGGAGCCAACTGAGAAGAGAATGTTTTCCTAGGGAAAAGCATCACAGACAAATTCAGAGACAAAAATTTAGATGCTCAAGGAAATCCCAAGGCAGGAAAAGGGACAAAATGTACAGTCTCTTTTAAAAAGATAGAACATTTTGAGCAGGCAAAAGGCAAACTTAAATACCAATTTTCCTGCATTAGCTTTTAATGCTATAGGAAAGGATTCTGGATAGCTCAAGACACAAAACAACCCCTTTTTTTCTAGTAATATAAAAGGACAACTTGAGGATCCCTGAAGTCACAAGATGCTTATTGTTTTAAAAGGGTTTTCTTTCTTCCAACTTAGAAAAAAGCATCCCTTTCAAAAATGGAATTTATAGAATTGCCTCACTGAGGACATGCACTGACATTTAAAGCCACAAACTGACCACATATTAAGATTTTAGTATAATAAAAAAAGTGACAAAAAAGGCAACACTGTGTAAGGTGGATTTGTTAAGAGCAACTAGATCAAATGCTGTTCCCAGCTGAAATTACTGACACCAACCACCCATTCACTTGGCTTATTGAAAAAAAAAAAAAAAATATATTTTAAAATACATAGTAGATCTAAACATGTTTCACAAGAATTTGAGCTATTAAACATAATATAATGAACTATGTTATATACTGCATGCAGTGTCTCATTCAGATTTAAAACACCAGCATTCAAACACTGAACACTTCAAATCATTAACAGAATGGGTGGAAAATGTGAAGAACCAAAACTTACTCAAGTTGTGATTGTCTTTCTTCTGCCTCTCCTTAGCCAAGGCTCTCGCTTCTGACTCTGTAGGAAAAATACATGCTGTGCATGTGAATGAAGTCATTAGAATTAAAGTAATTCCAACACAACGTTTTGGTCTGTAAGACATCTGTGCAGGAAGCCAAATCTGCATTTGTCAAACCCATTATTACACCCATTCCAAGAGGCAAGAAGAGCTTGTGCAGTGAGCTGTGACTGCCAAAACACAGAGCTGGGGCTGACCTTCACCCCTCCACCTGGGGAGCATCTCTTCCCACGCTTCCCACGGTGACTTCTGCCATGAGAACGTTTCCCAGGGAGGCTCTGATTCAGCAAAGTACTCAAGGACAACAAGCTGCTGAAGCCCAACGTCCCTTCTCCTAGGTTTCCCCACACACTTAGGTGGCAGGCAGCAGCTGAACCAGTGGGGCAGCATGTTTGCTGCATTGCTACCTGCAATGGGAGGACTCCCTGCCTCTACTCACTGGAATTTGGGCTACGTCCTCCTGTGGCACGTGCATGGACAGCACCACAGGGCTCAAGGTACAACACCTCACCTATTAAAACAGACTATTCTCCAGCTGCACTAACTGTTCTCATCATATGGAAAAAAGGATGAAAAATGCAATGCTTATTAGCAATAACTTTAGAAAACAATGGGCCTTGCTTCAGACATAGCAAAAAGAAAACTGATGACAACCATGCTGCACATGAGTTGTCTCCTCAACTCAGAACTGCTCTTAACCTTGCTCCACACTACTGCTGGACTTCAGTGTGCAACAGTTCAGGAAACAGCATAATTGAGTTTGTTATTTTCAGTTCTCATTAGGTCTTACATTTCTGGAGCATTTTAAACTATTTTCATGTTTGCTCTACTCCTAATTTTTGAAATATGTGAGGTCATTAATCCTTGCCCTGCTGCACTTACATCTCAAACCCAGCAAGCATTATTTAGTTTCACAATAAGTCAGCGAGGAGGAATAAGAGTATGATCCATTATCACATGTTCCACCATGAAAACAAAACCCCTCAATTCCAACTAGTTTCTTTCCTGTATTATTTTATTTTTAAGGAACATGGATTATGTCCCACACATTTCAAAATAACAGGTGCCAAGGGTTTCCCTTGGAGTCCTGGAAGCTTACTACATCACTGCCTAGAACACAGAGCTACCCCAATATTATAAAGCAGTATAACAGACTTATACTTTGTTAGGCTCCCAAGGATCCATAAAATAGTTTGAAAGATCATTGCATGTTGTAATGAAGTTTGGGGTTAATCTGACACTGCCTTATGAAACAGATGTGACGTTTGCAAGACTGGGGTTAATCTGACACTGCCTTATGAATAGATGTGAGGCTTGCAAGGCAAAAAACTGGCAGAAACTGCACTCCTGGGTGAGCAGGATTCCAGTAACACTTCAGTAACCACAGCTGAGAACTCACAACCATCATCAACATCAGATGCTGGGATAACAGGTTTGATTTTTGGGGGGCAAAGAGAGTTTTGTATACAGCAGGGCAAAGAAAAGTTTCTGACAAATGCTGGAATTAGACATTGCAAGCTCTCTCCAGCTTAGCTCCAACAGCAGTATCAGGAAATGGAGACATGAAGACTCCTGCCTGCAATGACATGCTGATTTTAAAATCACTGGCTGTCAGAAAGCAGAGCAATGGTGCTTTCTGCACAAAGGCTTGGCCAGATCCATGCCCAAGTGTCTGCTGTTAAGTTTAATGCCTGCACCTCTCCTAAATTAAATGCAATCTGCTACCACATTTTGAACAGAAAAAGCATTCACACAAACTGTGTCTGTGCACAAGTGAAGGCAGCACACAGACATTTAACTTGCTTCAGGTCTCTTTTGATGTACTCAGGGCTTCCATAAGACCACTTCACTCCCTGATTGCCCCTGTCTTTCTGCCTTCTTTGCCTGAAGTCTCACACAACCATGTGCAGTGAATCCATCAGCCTGGACACCTAACAAGTTGAATATATAGTTTGCACCCACAGCCACCTTTAACTTTCTAGAATTGGGGCAAGGAAACTGTCTGTAATGCAGGACCTTGAGCAGTTCTCACCCTCCCTTCTCTTGACATAGTTCCATCACTGTATGAGCCTCCCTTGCACAAATTGTTGTGCAGGTTGTGTGTCTTCATTTGGTGCTGAACTCAAGTTTTGTGCAGTCATATAAATGCAAACATCTGCCAGCTCAGAGAT